TTTTTTCTGAACATTACGGGGGTGGGAGGAGAAGGATTGTGTCCCTGGGTGTTTCTTCTTCTGTTTATGCTTTATTTGATCAGTAAGCTTCTTGTCAATTTTCCCTGGGAAGAAACAAGAAACTAGCACACCTGCTACCTCCCTAAGTCTTACAGGCCTGCAATACCTGGCGTAAGAGAGGCTTCTGACTCAGGGGAGTTTGTGGAAAAGGTGACCTGAGCTAAGATTTGTTACTTGATAGGAAGATGAGTCTAGGGATCTCAAACTCAAATGCCTTCAAGGTCCAGGCAGGTCACATACAATAGTGAAGCAGCTCAGTGTAAGGCAAAAGGGAGTAGTGTGGACTGTGGGAAAATATAACATATACCCACTAACCAGAGGACATTGCTGCTTCTCAACTCCAGTAATTACTATGGTTCAGTGTTGTCAGATTTTCTGATTTTTCAAAAGAAGCCAGAAATTAGGATATTTTATAATGACTGGTCTCTTGAGTTTTAAAACAGCCTCTGATTATGCAAGCCCCCAAATACATATTTAGGCCAGATAGGACTTAGGGCTGGTAGTTTATAGACTCTGACTTCAGCAAACAAAAAATAGAATAAGGGATTCCTGAGAGACAGCATAATATTTAAAGGTACAACCTTGTGAACTGACTCACACATTCCAGAAACTGCCCCTTGCTCTGCGGAGTCAGGTGGTAGATGTGTGGGAAAGTAGGAGATAGGGACAGAGGAGCCACTCAGCAAAGATATCCATGCTCTTCTAAGGAATCTGAACTTGATTTTGAAAGCTATGGGGCTCTGTGAGGGACCCTGAAGAGTCTGAAGGAGGGAGAGACATGTTGCACTCTGCACCTCAGAAAGCTGGGTTTTACATGGGAGGGGTTAGCAGAGGAGCAGTCTCTGCACACAGGGAGATAAAACGGAGGCCACAGCAGTGATCCAGGGCATAGGGATGATGACACTGGTACCTGCTCTCCTTGGGGAGATGAGTTCAAATCTGAAGTCCAGGGGACCCTCGAAGGGAGGACATCCTGAGGAGGAATGGGGAGTGTAGACCCTGCCCTGATTCTGAATGAACTGGCTGGGACTGCAGTTCCCTGCATGAACACTGGGATAGAAGGGGTGGGAGAGCAGTGGGGCGGGTGTGAAATGTGCCCAGATAGCCAGGATGTGCGGGATTCAGGAGCCAGGAGTGAGGCCCACCACAGGCAGATCAGGGAGTCATGGACATAGACAACAGAAGTCGGGGTTTGGACAGGTGGCCTGTGATAAGGGTGTGTTCTCAGCAACCCTGACATCCTGGGGAAGGGCTGGGAGGGAGACTGGGAAAGAGAAGTTCAAAGAAAACCTGGAGAAAGTGTTGCCACAGATGAAGGAGGAGGGAGTCGGTGGCCTAAGGGATACTTAGGGTCATGCTCAGTTCACCGGCGAAGCAGAGATCAGACATCAGCCCACGTGTGGTTGGGCCTGCTCAGGGAAGAACCATGCCGCACGGCAAAGCTCTCCACACAAGGGTCCAGTCCTGCACGGCCCTGTGGACTGTGGGCATACCTCTGCTGGTTCTCAGCCTTGTGACCTTCATCTGTGTCTCTCAGACTGAAGAAAAGAAAACGCACAAGTTTAATCTCCAGCAGACCTCCCCTCTGGATGGGCCCCAGCACACCATCCGTGAAAGTCACAGCAGCCACTGCAGGAAGCATGGTGCTACCAAGCCAGTGGAGTTCCAGGTCACTCCACTTTCTTTCAGTCCTTGTTGCTTTTCCCTAATCTACTGCACTGTTGAAAAGCAACTTCCCTGAGGACGGTTATTCCAAGGGGACTTGTCAGACTCCACAGGCAGCACCTGGTTGGTTCTGTTCCGAAGGGCAGCAGCCATCCCCTTCAACAATACTGCAGTGAACATCCACAGCTGTTCAGTGCTTCTTGTTTTAATCCTGCAGCAGAACCCCAATTGACAGAGGAGGGCATCAAGGCCTAGAGAGGTCCAGAGCTGCAAAACTAGAACCCACCAGAACCAGAACTCTAGTCTCCTCCCTGGCGGTTTCGTGCGTCCTCCTTCCATCTGACACTGAGGCTTCCTGAGCGGTGGCCACCACAGTCGCTGGAGCAGAGGGAGTGGCCATCTCTCTAGAACTGGGCAGGGTGGGGAAGGGGGCACATCAAATGCCTAGAAGAAAAGTGACTTCAAAGTCCTCTCCAACCTGAGTGCCTTCCAGGAATTTTCTCATGAAAAGGCTGCAGCTGACATCTGTAGGATGCTGTGTTGTGTCTGAATGCAGTCCCATCAAGGAGGGAACAAAAGAGGGAAGAAAGCCAGGTTGAAGGCAGAGGTCTTTCAAGCCTCCTTGAGGCGGGCTCAGGAGCAAAGTGTGGCAGGTTGGATGGGCGTTCTGCTTCTCTTTAAAGAGCACAGATTTATCCATACCATGCGACATGAATGAAATGAGAAGTTTTCAGGGCTGCCAACCCCTTGGTTAAGGTTTTACAGTAGTATATTTTCTCTACAATAAAAAGGAAAAAATGACAGCAAGGTTAACAATGTTTCTGCAGCACATGGCCTGGTGACTGTCAAAAATGGACGCTAAATACCTGGACAATGGAGGAGTGAATGAATTTTTGTATAAAACCCTTTCTACACCTACCTTTTAATGACTGGGTCACCTTTTATCCTTATTGGTGTGAGTGGAGAGTCTCTCTTGAATATTTTCACAGTTAGACTATTTGTTGAGTCACCTTTGCTTCCTCTTAATTCTCTGGCACCTCCTGGACTGTGTATTAAAACTGGGTGTGCAGGAGGTGGAGGGTAAGATGCATGGGACCACTTCCTGAAGACACATGAGGTTTGGCTACGTGCAGACCACGATCCAATCCCTGCTCTGTTGGTTTACTTGCTGGATAGTCCTGGGCAAATCACTTCACCTTCTTGAGCCTGCATGTCTTATTTCTAAATCCAAGTAAGAAATAAGAAAGTTAATATGCCTCTCTGACAGTGCCTGGGACATTGAGGGGCTCCAGTAAATACAGTTCATAGTATTTTTAATTGATCTCTTAGAATCTGCGTCCTCATCTAAGGAAGTATTTTGTTAACATACTTGTCAGGGACAAGAATTGTCACCAGGATGGTGGAGGCATCACTCTCAGGGAGTAAACTTTGGTGGGGAGAGAGAGGCTGTTGAGTTTGGAAAAATGTGTGTGTGTGTGTGTGTGTGTGTGTGTGTGTGTGTGTCTAATGATGCATTTGAACATTTTATAAAACTGTCATTTTGTAAAAACAACAAAAACAAAAACAAACTAAAAAGTAATGCTGAGCAAAATCTTGTTGGGTGTGAACATCGAGAGAAATCACGATTTTTTAACTGGGGCAGCTCTGCCAGGGGAACAGTAGGATCAAGAAAGGATTTTATGTCATTGTAAATGGAACCTTAAAATGTGTTGTGAGGCAGTGATTTAAAATAATGAATTTTCTGTGCCAGAAAGATCTTTAAACATGCCCTGAGGACTCTAACCCATCCCTTCACTTGGGATCATTTATCATGTCACTTCCCAACATGTTTCCTCTAGAGGGCGCCCACAGGGGACAGTTGCCTCCCAGATCCCAAAGAAGAGAGGTGGGAGATGTCCAGGGCCACCGAGTGAGCCAGGCTGAAGCTGGGTACCAGAGCCAGGAGGCCCCGGATTCGCCTATCCAAGAAGGAGGAAGTAGCCACCCTTGTCAAATGCTGATTGGGTTTGAGTCATATGGAGCCTGGGAAATCCCATAGCAAGGCGGTCATACAAGAGCTCTATTGATAGAGTGGTGGGGACACAAGCCATATTGGAGGGGAAGAAGCAGAGAGTAGAGTACAGAAGCAGAGACAGCTAGTATAGACAAGTCTGGAGAAGTTTGCAAAGTTTGTAATGTGCTACTGAGATAAACAGCTAAAGGGAATATGGAATTAAAGTAGGTTTTTTTTTTTTACTTAAGATGAGAACAGCAAATGTATATTTAAATGCTACTAGGGGTGAGCTGACTGGGCTCTTTAGGACTTGGGCTCTTTAGCAAGCCTACTGGGCTGAAATCCTGATGTCCCTCCTCAATAGCTGTGTGGCCCAGGCAAGTGTTTTGCTTTCTCTGTACCACAGTTTCTCCTCATGCAGAAATGAATACTCAGTGTTATTCCATAGGGCTATTGTGGAGGCTTAACTAAACTAATATGAAAATTTGTGGAACAGAGCCCAAAATACAAGAGGTCCAAGATAAATATCAGAATTATCACATGACTGAATGAAACAGTTGCATACACGGAAGAGAGAAGACTGAGTTGATTGAAGAGTCTCTAAGGGCAGGAAGGAATGCAATGCAGAAGACGGGTGAAGGCACTGGTTTGGATAAGAGGACAGCTGGCTCCTCATCATCACAAGAGGAAGGGAGGAGGCTGTTTCCAAGTGTCCTTCTGTATCCAATTGACTCCCTGGCTGTCCAGGCACTGTGCCCAACACCAGATGCAGAAGCCAAGAGGGCAGACGCCCACTTCCTCCACGGAGCTGATATTCTCATGGCAGAGTCAGATAGTACATTTAATATATAAAATGGCAAGAGGAGATGAGGGTCCAGCGGTGGGGGGATGGAGGGATATCATAGGAGGCTGGGGCAGGGGAGAGAAGATGCTATTTTAAGTGGTTGTTCAGGGAAGGCCTTTTCTACAAGGGTGACATTGTACAAAGATTTTAAGCCACAGGGAATATTTATCCCAGGGAGAGGAACAGCCAGCACACAGGCCCTGGACCTGGTGTATGCCGGGTGGGTGTGGGTAGGAAGCCACTGGAAGTATGAAACGTTTCCTCCTTTCTCCCCAAGCCATGCTTTTAGGAGGCTGTGTCATCGTCTTCTCTACAGAGGAGGGACACCTTCAGCTTTTTTGACTCATCTTTTCATTCAGGAGTCCTTTCCAGAGCACACTGTATGTGCAGGAAACACACTTCCTTTGGCAATACAGAGATGAGCTGGACCCCGGACACATGCCTGGCTATGGTCTGGGGGTTGGCGCTAAATACATGGAGACAATGGTAGCTGGGTTCAGCGTGCACTCCACCACAGGTATGTCCAGGATGCAGGACAAAAGGCCCAGGTTCACTATGCAGCAGGAGGATTCAGGATGGAGGTGGGCAACTCAGAAAAGGCTCTATAGCCACCCATGAACACTGTATAGAAGTCTGCTCTGTCCATGACTTTTCACCAGGTCCTGCCCAACAAACAGCATCATGTATCACCCAGGGTTTTACTGCCCCAGTTTCTGGGTTTTTAAGTGTAGGGATTTCAGAATGCAGCGTTATCTTAGAAGTCTCTATTTGAAAGTCTGTCTCTTTTGTAAGATGGGTGTAGATTGAAGAACAAGCCCTGCCTGAGTTGGTAGTCCCTGTTTATGAATCCTCTCTGGCTGGTGCCTCCATTCATTCTGAGAGGGCTCTGGTTCGACTGATGTTATGTTTTCCCCTGTGGCTATAGGTGACCCACAGTTTCATTACGAGAAAGAGGAAGAATCAGGAATAAGCATGAGGTGGGAAATGTTTGGCATCTGTGTGACTTGTTTACTTGCATTTTGATGTGTAGATGCCTCTAAGTCTTTTATAGAAAGACCAGGGAATTTGGCTGGAACATAATCAAAGCCCCTAAGTTCTCAGGGATGTTTTCTGAAGTTTGGTAAAATAGAGCTAAGAGTGAGCTGGTACCTTTTTGTATACCTATGAAAGCTGATTAACAAGCGAAAGTTTGCTGAAATCAAAGCAAATGGATAATTCCAATCAAGCTAAAAGTGGGGGCAAAAGAGATGGCAAAAAAAAGAGCTGAGCAGTCGATGAGGAGAGATCAGGGGCATAAAAAGAGAGATGCTCAGAGAGATGCCCATGATTTTCCCGTTGGCTCCTGCAGCACCCTTGGAAGCCCTGTGGGAGCCCAGAGATCTCCACTGTCATGGAAACGCCACCATCAAGGTTGAGACCTACATGACCTCGAGAGCTGCCCTGTGGTGTCTAAGAATCTGGGAGGTTCAAGCACTTTGGTATAAGGCTAACACTCACTATCTAGGAAGAGTATCTCGAAGCCCGTTAATACAGCCGTAAAACGACCTGATGAACAAGAAGCTGTGTGTGTATACCTAGAGGGAGGTAACAGACTGGCAGTAGACATGAATTTAAATTTGAGTTTAAATCTAAATTTGGTGGAAAGACCACATTAGAAGTACCGCCTGCAGATCTGAGGCTGCTTCAGGGGACCCCGGACTGTCACTCTGGGTCTTGGCTGGCAACCCAAAAGTAGCTGGCCAGTTCTGGCTTTCAGCACAATCCGTGGTAGTTTTCACACTAGTCATGAGCTAGTAGTGCTGGAGTTCGTGGTTTTCCCTGTTGGAGCTGTGACCTCAGAAAAGCCTTTCCTCACCGAAGGATGTCATTGGGGGAAATATGGCAAAGACGCCTCCAGTGTAAGAAAGGGGATATTTTGTTCCTCGTTCTTAGAGCCTGGATCAGCAAACTTTGGTACACAAGTCAAATCCAGTCAGTTCCCTTCTGTCACATAGCCCTCAAGCCGAGAATGGAAAAAAGTCAAAGAATAGCATTCATATCGAGTGTTTGACAATATGCTGTGCGCCATTCTAAATCTTTGAATGTATTAGCTCATGTAATTTTTACAACAAACCCCTGAGATAGATACTATTACTCATTCTATAGATGAGAAAACAAATGGAAACTTCTAGATAGGTTAAGTAATAATCAAAGGTCACGCAGCTAATGATTATCCCAGCTAGATTTCAGACCCAGGGAATCTTAGCTCAGAGCTTGCTCTCCTAACCTGCTTCTTCATATGAAAAGTTCCCCAACACTTATGCTCTATAAGTGTAGAGCATAAATTCCAAAAGAAAGATTCAGGTAACATGTTTTGGTGCATTCACAAGAGGGAAGATAACAGTGTCTCAAAGATGCAAGGGAAGACTTTGTAGTAGAAAGTGGTTACCTTTCCATGTTGCCAAAGTAACCTCATTTGAACACTAACTTTTAACCTCAATTAAGCAAAGTCTTAAACTCCCCAAAAGAATTTTATTTTTCTCATTAGTTGACTTGATGAAATTCGTTTAGTACAAAAAAAGTTCTCAGCTATTATATTTTTTAATTTTGTCAGTTAAAAAACGTGGAAATTTATTTCCTCTCTTATTACTTAAGTACCTGCATACAATATTTAATTTCTCCTCTTGCCCCATAAAGCTTAAATATTTACTGTCTGATCTTTTAAAGGAAAAATTTGCTGACTCCTACAGAATGGAGACTGTTGGGAGTTGCTATGGAATGTCATGAGAAAGGCTGGCTACACTTATAAGGCAATGAATGGCATGGGCAGTAGCCTCTAGTTCTTAGAGTTTAGGAGCTATGACCTTGAACTTCAGATATCCTGATGACCTCTGCAGTTACATCACTTCTGACCAGCTGGTGGGAGAGTACAAGTCCTTCATCAAGGACTACCCAATGGTGTCTACTGAAGACACCTTAGATCAGGATGACTGAGAAGCTTGGAAGAAGCAAGTCTTATACAGGTCATAAGGGATCAGCTCACTGCACCAAACCCAAAATGAATTACCAAGGTTATAGACAAGGACTCATGCAACTTCCTCTTAAAGTTAATATTTTAAGAATATATAGAGATCCCATGAGGGAGTCTTTTCAGGAGTGCAAAGTGGCCTAGGCCAAAGGATGGGGTGCCATGTTTTCCACTGTGCTGGGGCAACTGAAGATTCTTTCATTGTCAGCTTTGTGGTGAGGATGTGCACTGGGTCAACCAAGGCAGCGGGGCCTTGACCATCTGAGCACTTGACCAAGTGTAGCCAGCTCTTCAGATGGAGGAGAAGATGGGCAACAAAGCTCAACTCGCCGGCAACAAATTCAGGAAGCTTCCAGTCAGCAAGCTCTGCTGCTCAAGCACTGGTCAGCTGGTGGGACCTCTGCTTCTGTTCTAATCACAGGTGCTCACGGGTTCAGCTGCTGCCACCTTGGAGGGGCCTTTCCTTGTCGTGTCTCTGTGATCCTCTGCCTTCTTAGTACTGTTGCATTAAATGCCAACCTTTCAATGCATGCTACTACCTGAATAAACCTTGAAAACATTATACTAAGTAAATGAAGCCAGACGCAAAAGGACAAATATTGTACGATTCTACTTTCATAGAATTTCTAGAATAGGCAAATTCATAGAAAGTAGAATAGCACTTACAGAGAAAGCTTATGAAAGGGGAAATGTTTGCTTGATGGGTACAGAGTTTCTGTTTGGGTGATAAAAAAGTTCCAGAGATGGGTGGTGGTGATGGCTGTACAACATTATGAATGTGTTTAATACCACTGAACTGTACACTTAAAAATGGTTAAGATGGTGTCTTAGCTCATTTTGTGTGCTGCTGGAACCGAATACCACAGACTGGGTAATTTATAAAGAACAAATTTGTTGCCGGGTTCGGTGGCTCGGCCTGTAATCCCGTGCCTTTGGGAGGCTGAGATGAGTGGATTGCCTGAGCCCGTGGGTTCGAGACCTGCCTGGGCAGCGAGACCTCATCTACAATAAATCAAAAAATCAGCCGGGCATGGTAGTGCATGCCTGTAATTCCAGCTACTCGGAAGGCTGAGGCAGAAGGATTGCCGGAGCCCGGCAGGTCGAGGCTGCAGTGGCCGGGAGCGGCCACTGCACTCCAGTCTGGGCGACAGAGTGAGACTCCAACTCAAAAAACAAAACAAAACAAAACAAAATTTGTTTCTCACAGTTCTGAAGAAAGCCGAGAAGTCCCAGATCAAGACACAGGCCGGGGTAGGGCTAGGTCTCTTTGCTTCCAGGATGGTGCCTTGAACACTGTGTCCTCACATAGCAGAAGACAGTAAACCCACTCCTGAAGCACCCTCTCCCTCCTTTTTTTAGAGACCGTGTCACTCTCTGTAATCCAGACTGGAGTGCAGTGGCACAATCGTAGCTCATTGCAGTCTTGAATTCCTGGGCTCAAGACTTCTCCTGCCTCAGTCTTCAGAGTAGCCAAAAGTCCTTTTTATAGTGGCATTAATCCATTCATGATGGCAGAGTCCTTAAACCTACACACCTTCCGTTAGATCCCACTGCTCAACACTGTTGCATTGGACACCAAGTTTCCAATACGTACATGAACAATTAAAGGGGAAGAAAGCATCCAAGCATAGCAGATGGTAAATTTCATGTTATGTGTATTTTACCACAATAAAATATTAGGGCGGAGAACCTCTTAAAACAAAGCAAAAACCCTTTACCGCTGTTGAAAACCCTAGCTTTTGTCATGTGACCAATCCCAAATCATCCTTTTCCTTGCTTTTCTCCTGACCATGTGTCTGTGGGACCATATACTTATAGTGTGTTCCTGAGGTGTCAGCAGGCAGAAACCCCAGTGGTTTTAATGTGCAAATCGAAAAAAAGCATTTAGTATCCTCCTAAAAATGTGCAGGAAGAACCATCTGCAAATCCATGAATTGTGCTTTAGTTTAATCTTCTATTCTCAAGACTAGCCAACTGTTTAAGTTGGGTCCAGACTCTTAATTAAAGTTGTCAGTTCCTGAAAGTTCATTCTGAGCCTGACTCTCCCGTGAGAAACTGTAGACATGGGAAATACTAACATAGCTAGGAGATCCCAACACTGGACAGTACCTTACCTATAAACTAATGGGCTTGGTGTATATATCATATCAGTGTACTCTGTAAATATATACAACTATGGATTGCCAATTAAAAATAATAACCAAAAATAAATTAATTAAACAATTGGGCTTGGATCAAGAGGCTAAACAGAAATGTGGTCTTCAGATTTGCTGATTGCTTTTCACTAAAATAGAGTCAACTATGCATGGTTTTGTTTTTTAACATACTTTTTAATTTATTGTCTTAGTTTATTGTATATACTCTGCTAGGAGATACTCTCATGTTTGCACTGGGAAAAAAAATTGAAAATCTGAAATGTAGGCCTTTAAAGTCAACCTCTATCCTCATGATGACTGAGAATATTGTAGCAAGGTCAAATGGACATTTGGTATAACTATACGGGGGTGCCAAAAAAAGTGTGTACACACTTTAAGTGCTGTTATTGGTGTATTACTTTCGAAGTTGAATTAAATTACGATAGCAACATGTAGTATGACATTTTTTCAACCATGCTTCTGCCATTTTCTTTGACTGTTCTGCCTGTCACATGGTGACGCTAACATCCATTTGATTCATGCCATCTCTTGAGTGAATGTTATGCTTAAACTGTGTATACATTTTTTTGGCAACCCTGTATTGTCTTGTTTTATTGCATTCTTGGTAGTGTGCAAAGTGTATTCCCATGTATTTTCTCATTTGGTCTAAGTATTTATGACTCTATGATTTTGGCCCTATGTGAATTATCTTTAGCAAATTTTCCTCCCCTATCTTCTCCTATCACTCAACCAAGCAGGTATCAGCAGTCCCCTATCACAAAGAATGTAAGCTTGTTTTAAAAACATTTGGAGCATATCTAATTAGAACAAAAATGAATCACTTGTCAATTCATGTGATTTATTCTAGAGTCAGACATCTGCAACCCAAGTTTCTTTGAATGATGGTCTGCCCCATCCTGTGAACAACTGAGAGGTGGTGAGGTGTCTTGTACAGATATAAATATTATGCGGGAACATGGCCCATAAACTGCAGCAAAGACTCAAAGAAAAGACCCATTTAATGGTTGGAGTTTGATTTGATTCACTGAGAGCCCCAGTTGGGCAAGACACCGTGTGAGACAGGATGAATGAGACAGGGCTCTACCCTGTTTTAATACAGGTTTTTCTATTATTTAGGTATGTTCAGGCCATCAGATCAGGAGATGACTGCCATTAAAAAGACAGTATGTTATAGTCACATCATGGGGCTCCACATGAGAAAGCCCTGGGCTTGGTCTCTTGAGTTATATTCTTCCTTCACTGGAGGGAATGGGTAAGGCAGAGTCAGCGGGTTTAGGATTCGTTCATTTGAATCATTTTGGCAGGCTCTGGGGCATAGGAGCTAACCCTAGTTGTCTGGTGCCTGTCCCAGGGTAATTGGGGCAGGAGAATATTGGCCCTGAGTGTGACAGCCCAATAAACAGGGGAGGGGGGAGCGGGGATGTCGACTCTGGCTTGGTAGGTTTGTATTTGACAGGCGCATTCCCAGGCAAGTTGTTTGCTGTCTCTGGGATCTGGCTAACCCTGGGAGGGGCAGTCCCTCCAGGGTTATCAGAGCCCCAGACATCAAAGCATCAGAATATAGGAAATAAAAGACGTGGTTAATACACACTCTGCTGGCCTTACTTCAGTGAAGCCAGCAACCGAGGAAGCCAAACCTGGGACACAAACCCCCATGTCCCGGTCTCTTCAACTGTAAGAGGATAAGTTCAGATTGTACACATGACAAGATTTCCTTAAAGCCTCCCAGCTGTGATTCTGTGAAGTAATTAAATATGAGAAGAAGGTGACAAATGCTGTAACAGAATCGAGTGCTCTGGGAAAAGAAGGAGAAGGTGGCTGAGAATTGAAAATTGGGATGGTCTGAAGGGAGACACAGATGTTGGTTTAGGGGTTCCTATGGAAAAGTGATACAGATGGGCTGGCTGGTAAAGGTAGGGGTGGGAAGTGGGAGGATTCATCTTCTGAGAGGCACCAGGCAAAAAAACAAGAATTTGAACAGATTCTCAACTGGAAGCAATTTTGTCCCCCTACTCCAGGGAACACTTGGCGATATCTCCGGACATTTTTGGTTGTCACAGCTTGGGGGGTGGGAGGAGGACTGCTGCTGGCATCCAGTGAGTGGAAAGGGACGCTGCCAAACATCCTGCAGTGCACAGATGGCTGGCCGCCCCCCTCCCAACCCACCAACACAGAGATACCCTGACCAAAATGTCAACAGAGCCCAGGTTGGCATGCTCTGAGTTCGAGAAAGTATGGTTATGAAAAAGTACATGGATTTGTAGTACTTCAAGTCAGCAGGACTCGATGTTGTCCAGGAGCCGGCCTAGATGAGGAAGAGAAAAACTGGGAACCACTTGTTGCAAAGCAGTAGGTCTTCTCTGAACCTGGCAGTCAGGGATTAGGGACAGGGGAAGTGGAGAGAGGAGATATTGGGCAAAGGGGACCAAGTTTCAGTCAGGATGAATAAGTTCTGGAGAGTTATTGCACTGCATGATTACTATAGTGAGTAACAATGTATCACATTCTTAAAAATTGCTAAGATAGTAGATTTTGTATGTTTTCACCACACACAAAAAATGCTAAGTATGTAGGGCGATGGATAGGTTATGATTTAATCATTTCACAATGTATATATACCAATATATAAAAACATCATGTTGTATATTGTAATTCCTATTTGTCACTTATACGTTAATAATGCTGATGAGAAGTTTTGGACTTGGCAGGGTAAAAAAGGAAGTATTAATTGCTTCTGTTGTCTCTTGAGCTATGCTCCATGAGGGTAGGGACTGTATATGCCTAGCTTGGCAAAGCCCAAGGTATAATATTACTCAATAAATTTCTGTTGAATGAATAAGAAAAAAATAAATTAGCTATAGTGCTGTCATCATCCAGAGCCTTTTTAGATTTTATGAAGGAAAGAAACTGGGTTTGTTGAGGTTTGCTTTTTGTGTAAGCAGAGTTTTGGGCTTTTATAAAATCAAATCTGTCTACATTTTCTCATATGACTTCTTCTTATCCTTCTGAATTTAAAAAGCCCCTCGCATGAGCTTCTCAGCCTTCACCAAAGATCTGATAAATATTCTCTTGCATTTTCTCACCAGTTTCTTATGGTTTGCCTTCTTTAAATATTTAACTGTTTAATTCTGTCTTTCCCAGAGGGTGGTGCAAGTGCTCCTAGTGTTCTCTGTGATAATATAAGACGGTTTTAGGAATTCTACTGATAAATATTATTGTGTTAATGGCTTTGTGGTTTTTTAAAAATAAATATGTAATCAGGATATCAAATCCATATTTCACAGATGGTATTGCTTAGGGTAAGGGAAAGTTTTTAAAGCTGAGTCAATTTTAAAATTTAAGTGGATAATAGTGTGTGGGAGTGATAAATATGACAAACTGGCTATACAGAGCTGAGAATTACTACAGTTTGGGAAACACTGGCTAAATCCATGTGAAATTTGTTTTGTTGTTTGGAGTAGGGTAACACTCAACTATTTTTCCTCCAACTCACCCCCAGATTGTTAACCTATGGCTCCAAATCATTTATGAAATTTCTCTTTGATAGTGATTTTTTAAAATCATACATCAGTTCTTATATACAACATTTCTGGACAATCTCTTTTGTTCTATTAACCCTTCATTAGTCTTGAGCTATTAATCTGCTTTAAATTACTGTGCTTGACTTAATTCCTGGCCCAGTGGATCTTCCCGCCCCTCCTCCCCCCCCCACCACCACACAAGGAAGGCTGATTTTGAGGAATGGGGTCTGGATGGGGGCATGTGAGAAGACAGTGGCACATGGGACACAGCATGCCCAGCAATGCCCTTGAGGTTTGGTGGACATCAGTTATGGGGCGAAGCTAGCTGGACATTCCTAGACCCCAGCTTGGAAGTACGAGAGCTCTGCTATCCAGAGGCAAATGGGAAGGAACAAAAAAATAAATATTAGGCATTAACTTAAAATGAGAAGAACCAATGATACGCTGTGTAATTAAGAACTAGACTTGTAGTGATGAAACTTGGGTCCCACAGGGAGACCTAGGATGAGACACTAGGTAAGTGACAACACCTTTCCTGCTGTCTGGTCATCTGGCCGTGTGGCAGGGGAATATTGGCTTTTGATAAATAATGTTGAAAAGACATTTTAATCCATCAGGAAGAGACATGTACCCATAGACATATACTCACAAATACACATACAATGGTATATAAAGTATGATAATCCTAAGGAAATCAGATGGAAAAATCCAGACTTAAAACCAGTGTGAGGACAGGCATTAACTTCCCCTGAAGAGTTATCATTTAATGAGAAGTTTCATTCCAGTACACAGCTTCCCCAAGGACTTTGTTTCTTTGGAGTGCACCAACACTTTGACTGAGAGGCTTAATAGAACTTTAAACATTGAGGATGTATTCAGTACCTCCCCAAATCACATTTAGGGTACACATAACCTATACATTTTAAATTAATTTTTATTCAAAAAAAATAATTCTCATATACAACTTTTCTAAAACACCCATGACAAAAAGTAGGGTACCATCTTCTAGTCTAGTGTGACAGCGAAGGATGAAATTATGTGGCCAGACAGAATGGATTATGATAGCTGAATAGACAGTGGGGCTGGAGTGGGACTTAGAATTCTTTTACTTCAAAAGCCTATTCTCCAAAGAAAGGAGCAAAGGCCCCCCCATGACTCACCCGCTCCTTCCCCATTTCCTGGCAAAGTGACACCACTTAATGTTTCTTCTGCTACCAGAAAGTCAGTCGTTGCCACATTTAGTTGGAGGCACTGTTGAGTTAATATTGCTTTCTCTGTTGAACTTCTGGTGTCTCAAGGTTGGAGAGAACATGAAGAACAACATCTCACTGCATGTGAATGAAAGCAAGAGAAAACAGCCAGCAGGTGCTGAGTCATGCTAAAGCAGATGCTGAGTCATGCTGAATTATGCTATCCTGTGTGATGACTCTTAAGGGGGGTTGTTTCCAGTCTTAAATGGGTGTCTCAAGTAAGAACTTGGGTGCTAATTGAAACAATGTTCAAGTGGGGAGCAGGGGAGGATTCTGGAGGTCCACTTCCCAGTAAGACGCTTGGGCTGCAGCTGGGACCAGGACATTGCCCATTCTGCAGAGTCCAGAGTGAGAGCTCTTCCTCCCTCTGTAGTTCTCCAGGTGGGCTGTGGGATCTCCTGGCAATTGAAGAGGGCTTTGCAAAGATGAGCTGGGTTTATAAATAATGCATTTCCTTTGTCTTGCAGGAATTCTGGAGGCAGAGGTACAATCAGATCAGCTGTGAACAGCTTACATAGCAAATCTAATAGGTTTGTAAATTAGATTTTGTGTTCATTTGTTTTTGCTGTAAGGCAGCTATTAATCTGCTTCTCCTCTTTGCTGGATGTGTCCTTCTTACTTAGCAAATAGATCTGTTTCGTTTCACTTTGGTTTTGCATTTCCCTAATAACTTTTGGGGGGACCTGTCAATGGAAGATCACATGAAATGGCCCAAGGTCTAGAGGCTGCAGAGATGGAAGATGCAGATGGATGAGAGTCACTTTCTGGAAAAGAGCCCACCCACGTTATAAAGCTTGGGCCACCCATGAACTTACTTATGTATTTCCTTACTTACGTATTTGTTGAGCAATGGAGAGCCTGAAGGGAACCAGGGCTTTCACCCAATTTCATTGTGCTAGATGGCTTATCTAGGAGGTTAAGAAGGAAAATAAAGCATTCAGGAGCTTTGCTGAGACTTCTTAAAATATTTAGGGAGTCAAGACAGTAATGTTACACTTTAGTATTGAATGTACACTCCAATTTCTGAAAGACTATTAGGACTTCATATGATGGGACCTGACTGGGAGAGTTTGGGACAGTCCTTGGCTTGGGGACAGCTTGATGCAGGGGAACATGCAAATGCTTTGCAAGCCAGCATATCTAGGCTTGCCATCATTAGTGGCTGCACCATGCTTCCAAGTCCCCATTCTCCATCAGTGACAAGTGTCCCCATACCTGTGGCCTGTAGTTTTAGAAGCCTGAGCTTAAGAAGCATTGAAAGTAAGGACCACATTATCTGACATAAGCAAAGGCCACTACTCAAGATGAAGGCCTTGTTTTGCTCTCTAAATATCCTGTGTTGATCAGTCTGGAAGTGAGCAGTCTTTATTATTTGAAGTCTATTACTTGCCCTTCCACATTTTTTAGATCTCTTGACCATAAGAGAATTATCAAGTATGTCTTTTCCTGACCCTGCATGACTGAGTTGAGAGACTGTCCCCTCTGCCCCAACATCATTGCTTCTAGATCTCTAATGACCTTTAGCCACCTTGGAGCTGCAAATGAAGCTTATGTTATGCCTGAATATAGCAGAAACAAAGCAGAAGGCCGTGTATCCCTAAGTCCCTCTCTGTTCTATTGTGAAAATATGCCCCTTTTTGGAGAAAGATGATCCTCTGGTAACTTGGGGTGGTACACTCTCACAGGAATCAAGAAAGGGAAGTGGAAAGAACCATTCTGAGAGCCAGGCAGTCCTGGGCTCAGCCACAATGCTTGCTAGCCAGACTTGGGCAAGCAATTTCACCCCTCGGAGCCTTGGCTTACTTATTCAATTGGATTAATTCATGTGTCTTCTTTAAAGGGTGTTTCAGGACTGGAACTACCAAATAGAAAGGTCTATCCAGGACCTGATATGTTAGAGGCCCTCAGCTTATACATGTTACCATCACTGTAGATGTGTCATGGCATTAGAAGATGGTCACTGAGGGTGAAGTTCAAGAGTTGGGAGGCGAAGCCATTTAAGGCTAAAATGCATCCCTGTTTGGGAGACTGGAGACAGGAGGACATAGTCACTGTAAAGGAACATCTCAACTCACCAATCTAACATGTGCGCGCAACACAGAGCATGTAAAACCTGCTAACCAAGTTGGTACCTGAGATTATGTGATCCATCCTCTTTATTTTACAGTTAAGAAGGCAGAGGCCAGAGTCCTCAAGTGACTTCCCCGAGTCCCCCAGCTAGATAGTGACAGAGCCAGAGATAAAGCCCAGTAAGACCACAGCTGACCTTATAGGATCCTATCCAAGGTAATGCTAGGAAGTGGGGACAGAAATGGAATTTTACCACTATCTGTGCCAGCATTTATCTCTGTCCCTTCTCTACCTCTGTCACTTTGTATCCAAGAGAAGCCTGGACATGTTTTCTGGAGTTTTCTGAGCAGGTCTCCTCTGTCAGCATCCGTGATAGAATACTTCTACAGACCCTTCCTTCCTGAGAGAGCCTGTGTCATCCAGGGTGTCCCAGTTTTTGAGGAGTATCACCCTAGACTGAATCTGAATCTGTGTTAACCCATGAGGTGCCAGGACCCAGCCACTGATTCCTGATGAGAACATCAGCTGGCCTCTTTGGACGACAACTCCTTATTACAAACACTAAAGCTTTCTATCATGAGTGACTACTGAGGAGGGCTGCAGTGAATCTTGGGTGTGGAAGCCAAGGTGGTCCTGAGGTTTCTGCTCCTGCCTATGACCTACACAGAAGTAGGCAGTACCAGAGGGGTGCAGTCATACTAGCTCCTACTGGAGTCCCACAAGACTGCAGCCAACAGTACATGCTGGGTGGTCCTTCTAGAATCCTAGAACTTCAGAGATGGATGTTTACCTCTTCCACACACACACTTTCTTGTTTTTTGTTTTTAATTTATTTTTTCAGTGACAAGGTCTTAGATAGATTGCTCAGGCTGGTATTGAACTCCTGGGCTCTAGCATTCCTCCTGCTTTGGCCTCCCAAAGGATTATAAGTGTAAGCCACCACACCAGGCCTATACCCACTTTCTATAAAGAAAGGTAAAGTTATTGACTCACAGTTACACAACTTATGAACTCTTTCCACTACCCTCTGCTCCTTGCAAGAAAACAGTAAAAATTCTAAAGGGTCAGGGCTTCTGTTTCCTCTCACACTCTCCCTGCTTTGCCTGCGTGCCAGGAGGAGCCTTACTCAAAACTCTTTGATTTTCTATCCTCTGCAAAGTTACATATGTTTGAATCCAAGACAAGTGATATCAGCCAAAAGGAGTCAGAAATATCGAGAAACAGAGGTGGGTGGGTGGGGGGAATGTGTGAGACAACTGTGCCTCTAAGTGAATCCCTTCTCTACCTGCAAAAGTCAAAATAGAGCTTTGGATTTGAACCTAGCTAACAGGATTCCATCTTTTAAAAAAAAAACTTGACTGTTTCAAGATCAATGCAGAGGACATAGATGTTGGGTTTGAACTCTTTAAAGCTTTGGAATTTGGCATCACAAATCCACTTATCATTCTAACTGGGAGAATCTGCTGTCACCACAGACAAAAAGAACTTAGATGTGACCCACATGCATCTGCGTGCATCCAGCAGAAAGCAGCCTGGCTCTCACACTGCCTTTAAAGGTATCATTGTAACCTAGTTTCTTAGAAACCTACTAGCATACATTTCAAGCCTCTGAATTCAAGCTGGTCCTGTAATGCCTGGTGTTCCTGAGTCAAGTGGATCCCAGCGTCGGGATCTGCCAGGAGTACAAAGCCAGCCACCTCCTTCATCCACCCCAAGCTTCCCCAGTATCAATTTCAAACTCAAATTCAACAAATACTTATTTATGGAGCACCTGCTATATTAGACCACTAGAGAATATAAAAATAAGTGAGGGAGATCCCCTGCTTATAGTCTAGGAGGAGAGAAAGACACGACACAGATAATTCTGTAACAAGGCCCACGTTTCAAGGGACATCTCAGAGCAGAGTTACCCGCAAGACAGTGATGGAACCACTGGGAAGGAGGAAGAAGCTACAGGCTACAATCACATAGTTGTGGAACGAGTTTTTGTTTTCTCTTTAAGTCTATAAGCCCATTATTTGATACTTTGCTCTGATACATCTGCTCCTTGTGGAGTTTCTTATCAATAGCTTGACTAAGAAATATTACTATTCTGACAGTGACTGTCAGGAAACAGTGGGGAGAGAAAAGTTGTTTTATCACCCCCCTTTCTACCTCCGAGAATGTATGTAGGTTATACCTGAGGGAGAGAGTTTGTGCATTCTAGAAGATAAATAGACTTCCTTCTCTTCTCAGGTAATAACTGCAATTTCACCCTTCTAAAGAAGTTTACATTCAAGCCCGTGCAAAAACAAAACTATCAGGCTTGTCATCAGCATGCTAACACATCATGTCTACCCTCTCCATTTTTTTTTCTTCCAGAGCTGAAGTTGTAATAAACGGCTCCTCATCACCAGCTATTGTTGACAGAAGTAATGAAAGCGTCAAACACAACATCCAGCCAGCCTCGTCCACATGGAGGCACAACCAGACGCTCTCTCTTAGGATCAGGTACTAGTAATTACCTATAGGACAAGAGGTAGATTTGGCCTTTTTCAGCACATGCCAGCAAATTACCACGCTTCATCATCTAAAGAAGTCAGAATAGAAATCAAATGTTTATCTCCTGTTGAGGCAGATTTCATCTGTAAGTGATCAATTGAAAATAGAAACCCCAGTCAAGTGCAGCCGCCCAGCCTGTGTGCAGGAAGTCAGGCCAGGAGGTAGCTGGACCATTCTGCTGGGGTCCTGGGCTTGGAGGGAGGGAGGTTCAGGTCAGCAGTGGAGGAGACCTGGGCGATGGAGACCTTTTCTTCCCTGGCGTAAGGAGCCCTTTCTTGTCTGAGTCTGCCTGGCGTCCACATCTGGTTTTGGTGACAGCCCTCCAATTTGTCCTCAGAGAACTGCTCTCCCCACAGTCCTTATGGCCTGTGTAGGCTTCCCCTCTCCCACAACATAAAAATGAAAAACTATAACTCTATGGGCATTGGGAGACCCAGAAACTGACATGACACCTGACCCTGAAGGGAGAGGTCTGCTTAGCCAGAGAGCAGTGATATCTTCAGAGCACTTCAGTCATCGTTAGGTGGCGGCAGTGGGGAACTGTGGAGAAGGAATGACAATTTCAGCATTTTGGACACTTACTTCGATGTAACCATGATCTGCCTAGCAAATATTGGTCAGCGTAATCCAGCTACTCAGTTCCAGGCACTGAGCTGCAGACAGTTCACATGACTCAGACATGCTAGGCAGGGAAGCCCAAACATAAGCAAAGACAGAACAGCGCAGCGTGGTATCTACATTAAGTGGCATTGCATCTTACAAGTACATGGAAATAAAGAGGCCATACTAAGGAGAGAGTCATTCATTTTGTAAGAGGACTGGTCAGGGAAGGCTGACCAAGAGCATTGGGTTTTGGATGAACTTCAGCACTGGGTTAGGCGTTTGCCAGGCACACCAAGTTACACTGTGCATGCACAGAGTCAGATCTGGTGTTTGTGCACAGTGCTGCAGAAGCAAGAAGCAGAAGGTGGGGAATGGGGGGGATGAGGTTGGACTGATAGCCAGGGCCAGATGGGGAGACCATATCATGGAGTGGGAGAGGAGAATGGCTACCAGAAGTGTCACTGCACAGAGCAGGGAGCTGCCCCCTCTAGTAGGCTAACACAATGCACATGCGCCCTCCCCTAGCTCCTGAGGCTTCATGTGGGACATGCACAGGTGTGAGGAATAGAAAGGCATGAGATCTGGAGACCTGGCACCTGAGAACTGCCCAAAGGAGCTGCCTCTGGACTCCACCATGCTGCCACCCTCCACTCCTTACTCAAGGTCTCATTGGAGGCCTCCTGGTGTGCTCTCTATCCCATCATGCGGCCCTAACATCTGCCCTCTCTGATCAAGGGCACCGTGGAGTTGGTGAGACCCCCCCTGCATTAGTTCCCTAAGGCTGCTGTACCAAATTAACACCAACTTGATGGCCTAAATCAACAAATTTATTCTTGCGCAGTTCCAGAGGCCAGAATTCTGAGCACTCCCTTGAAGCCTCCTGGGGAGAACCCGTCCTCTTGCCTCTTCCAGCTTCAGGTGGCTACAAGCATTCCTAGTGGCCACAGCACTCCAATCTCTGCTCTGTCTTCGCATGGCCTGCTCCTCTGTGTATGAAGGAGGACCAAAAAAATACCACAATTATTTTTTTAGGATGGCGGGCCCCTTGTAGTACAGGTTGCTCCCAATAGGTAAGTGTTCTAGGTACCCATCGGCATCAGTATACCAGCTAGCATTGTTGTGAGAGGCTGCATTCGGCTTCAGTGGATTTTTTTTTTTAAGATTCTTTGAATGCATTTGCCCATTTCTTGATGGGTGATTTACAAGTGCACCTGAGTGTTCAGCAATTTTTTGACCAAAAAACAGCATGATCCTGTATCCCACCCTCCCTATTCACCCAATCTCACCTTGAGTGACTTTTTTGTTTGTTTCCCCGGATATAAAAAGTCCTCAAAGGGAGACATTTTGCCGATGTGGAAGAGGTGAAACAAAGAAACAGCAGAAGTACTAAAAGGCATCAAAAGGATGAGTTCGAAAACTGTTTTGAGTGGTGGATAAAGTGTCTTGATAAGTGAAGTTAAACTGAAGTTTAAACATGTAAGAATAAATACACCAATTAATATAAATAAATTAATGGTTTTGGGGGTCCCTCCTCATATTATCCTATTCTGTCTCTTATAGGGATTTGTCATTGAATTTAATGCTCACCTGGGTAGTTGAGGATGAATCCTCTCCAGATTCTTAATTTAATTACATCTGCAAAGGTGCTTTTTCCAAATAAGGTCATATTCACAGGTTCCAGGGTTAGGACCTAGACATATATTTCAGGGGGCCACTGTTCACCCCACGACACCACCTGTGGAAGAAATCTTCCTGCCAGCACAGGCCCACACACAGTCCCCACTAGCGTTTTCTCTCCCATTTGAAGACCAGGCTGTGGCCTTTGCAAGGAGCCTGTAAACAATCATCTCGGCAGGAACAACATGCCTTCACCCAGAGGGAAAAAGAATTTCCTCAACTTCAGTCAATTAATCACCAGAATTATTCATAATAAAAGATTCTGCGAGTGATTTGAAATGATGCTTAATAATTGATGGTAATTCCTCATAATTAGTTAGAAATGAATTCACTCACAGAGGTGTTTATTTATGGGCTTTCTAGAGGCTCCCTTTGCTTTTAAATACTTTTGGGTAAGTAATTGCAAGGGTTTTCGCAATTTCCAAACCATATCAGTTTGTCAAGTCATATGATGCTTGTTAAAGCATAGTAAATAAAAACAATGCATCTGTTTTCCATCAAGAGATACGAGTTATTCAGCAAGGGTGGTTCCCCTGTGTGATATAGTAAGAGACGCTGGTCATTAATAAGGAAAGACAAATGGAAGGAAAGCATCTTACTTAGTGTTCTAGCTGCCCCCAGCTGCAGCAGAGGCCCTGGAACCTGGACACACATTAAGAGTCCCCGGGGGTGTGGGGGGGGTGGGCAGTGCTTTGGAAGGTGTGCTGAGACCTGGGCCACTCTCTGAATCAGGATTTCTCAGGCATCCGCCCAGAGCTTCCAAATTCTTCAAAAGTTCCCCTAGTGATTGAATGTGCAGCCCACTGGGATATATACCAAGTGTTGTGAACGTCTCAAATCTGTCAGGCTCTCAGGCCTCAGTGTTACCATCTGTGCAATGGCACAGCCATCCTGCAGAGTTTCACATTTGCAAAGGAAGTGAAAATTCTGCATCTCCCAGACTCTGGAGACAAAGACCACCATCTTTGTAGCTGTTCTAAACACAATGTTAATTTCATTTGCTGCCAAAAATGAAATAAACGTTGGATAATCTAGGTACCCAGTTTCTTTCTCTTTATGACTTGAATCATTTCTAAAAATCACTTGGGTCATTCTTTAAGTAAAACTCCCAGCTAGGATCCTCAGGCTCCTGGAGGAGGCTGTGTGTTTTAAGGAAAACTATTTTGGCAAGTCCAAGAGGACACCCATTCCCTTCCTGACCCCACCTCATCTCTTCTGTATGCTTTGCTAGATGATTCGAGAACTTTGCCTCTAAATCCAAGCTACCCTGGGGCCTAGAGAGTATCCAAATATTGACCAGGGAGGTGTCAATATTTACAAGTCCCTCCCCCCCACACACACACACACTAGACAGCAACTAAGGGAATAGCAGGGGGACACACTCCACAAAGTGGACAAGCTCCCAGGATGGCAGACATCCTCTCAGTGTCTCAGAGGTAGAAGTGTAGAGATATACCTCACAGGATTCCATTCACCCCTGAGCCACCCCTTTGCCCAGAAAAACCTTCCATGGGAGCTGATGGGTCCGTGAGGAATGAGAGAGATGTATCATCCTGGCTTCTGTTCCTAGTGCAGGACTCCCAGTCAGAGAATGGCCTGAATCTCTCTAAGAGACAGGGATGTGATATAGGGTGACCAGATATCTGAATTTGACCAAGACTGAGGGTTCTTCAGGGATGTGGAATTCTTAGTGCTTAAATCAGGCCATTCTGAGCAAACCAGGACAGTGGGGGCGTCCTTCCTTCTAAAGCCTTCTGTGAGGAGCTCACCTCCAATCCTAATGGAGTGGTATCCCAGAGCAGTTTTCACCTCTCGTAGGAAGAGGGCATAACCATGGCAACTCCCACATTGGTCACCACCAGAGTTGCCTTTGCACCACTTCTGGCCACCCCAGTCTGGATCCCTCTCTCAAGGGCATCCAAACTCAGTGTGTTCCACATGAGTTTGGAGGCTTCAGCCACTCTGCAGGGTGACACAGGTTGGGAAAAGCTGAGTCGGCACAGAGTTGCCAACAACACAGAGACCTTCCTCATGCGTGTCTGGTTTTCACAGGAAGCAAATTCTAAAGTTCTTGGATGCCGAAAAGGATATTTCCGTCCTCAAGGGGACCCTGAAGCCCGGAGACATTATTCATTACATCTTTGACAGAGACAGCACGATGAATGTGTCCCAGAACCTCTATGAGCTCCTCCCCAGAACCTCACCGCTGAAGAACAAGCATTTCCGGACTTGCGCCATCGTGGGCAACTCGGGTGTCCTGCTGAACAGCGGCTGTGGGCAGGAGATCGACGCACACAGCTTTGTCATCAGGTAACCAACCGAAGCAGGTGCTCTGGGCCCAAAGCAGCCAGCAGACCATGTATAAGCTGAGCATTGCCAGTGTTCCCAGGAGACCAAAACAAGATGCATTGGTCGAGTTAGCCACTGTCCTCAGCCCTGACTGCTCATCAGAATCACTTGGGGATCCTTGTCCCCAGTGTCTAGAATGTACCTTAAATCAATCAAAACAATGAAGAAGAGGAGAAAAGGGGAGCGTAGCAGGGATGTGAGCCACCCCAGGAGGCCAGGGGATCCTGATGTACAGCCAAGGTTGAGAATCACTGACCCATGAAGGAGGTGAGCAAATGATGGCCCATGGCCTGCTTCTGTAAATAAAGTTTGGTGAGAACACAGCCATGCCATTCTTATACCGTCAATGGCTGCTGGTTCAATATAAAGCAGAGCAGATCATTGAGCAGTTAGGTCTGCAGAGCCAAATTTTTTTATTATCTGGCCCTTTACTGAAAAAGTTTGCCAACCCTCTAGAGGTAGAACCTGGTACAAAAGGTTGGTCACAAAATCTCCTGGGCTGGCCAGCAGTTGATCCAAATGTCATAGAAGGCAGTGCTCTGTGAGTAACTGTGTTATTCTGTTGGCAAAACCTGGGGAGCAAGGGGGTAACAGAGAAATTTGGATTTTGTACCCAGCACACCATTTTCTCTAAAACATCGGCTCTCACTTTTCAGGCGCCTGGGACATTTGGACATGGTTACCCATGGCCCTGACACCTGACCCTCAACCCATAAAGACTTGGAAACAAGGCATTGCTGTCCCCTGGTCAAAAGTAGGGCACACAGAGCCTCAAGTTTCATTCTGAGTGCCACCCCAGCCCTGGCGGACCTGCATATCAAGTCTCATGTTTCTATGGGGACTGTCCCAATGCAAAAAGAGCCTTGTCCTGGGACTTTGGGGAGCAACCTTGTCACAGAGTTCCCTGAACCTCAAGACATGGGAAGAAATGGTGTCCTTCCTCCTGCCTCTCTCGGGATTGAAGAGCCCCAGTGGCCCAGCAGCCAAGGTCATTTAGCTTTGTTATCCTCTGCCAGTTCTGTTTGAGCCTGGCATATCCCATGGCTCAGTTTGTTTTCGAAGCCCTTCAGTCTAAAGATTAGCAGAGAGAGTTTGAGGGGACAGGAGAGGGAGAAAAGAAGTATGGTAGGTTTGTCTGATTGGAAACGAGAGAAAGAGTGAGGGTTGGGCAGGGTGTGTATTAAAGGTGAGGGTATGGAGGCCAAGGTCTCCTCCCAGGGGGCTCAGATCACCTCCAGGGATGCTGGGCAGTGTCCAGGAAGACCTTTCTGACCTAGGGTCACACATGCAAGCCATGCCTCTTTCTTTGTCATAAGTCATGAATTTCTAAAGAGAGCTTCCCATACTCCCAAGGGGCCCTGCCCCAGGAATTTCCAGAGGCAGTCATAGATTTTGGCAAACAGTTTCCTTTCTGACCACTTTATTTCCTTTTTTCCTTTTTATTTTAAAGATGTGGGGTACAAGTGAGAATTAGGTACATAAGTGGTCTATGTGTAGGTGAAGTTTAGGCCTCCCACTGGTCCTCACTTCCCCGGTTTAGGATCGGGTATCCTTAGTGATGTTATGTACACCCTCCTTCCCCTGGCAGTGTACCACTAAAACAACTGCCAATCCCTCTCTTGTAGTATTGTGATTAATGTTCAGGACCCACTTATGAGTGAGAATATGTGGTATTCGGTTCTGTGTTTCTGTGACAGATCACTGAGTATGACAGCTTTTTGGACACTTTCACAGCAAAGACAGCAGTGTGGTGTCCAGGGCCCAACCTTGGCTCTGCTACCCATTTGTCACGTGGCTTGGAGCATGTCATTCCCCCTTTCTAGGCCTCAGTTTCATCATCTGTAAGATGAGCAGGGTGAACTGGCTGGCTTTGAGGTCCTTTCATCATGAATATTGTCTGTGCACTAGCCCAGACAAAGCTTAACGTGTACACAGGTCACCTGGGCTTATTAAAGAACAGCATCATCAGGTCTGGGGTGGAGCCAGGGACTCTGCATTTCCAAGAAGCACCCAGAGGATGCCTCTGTTGCTGGTGTGTGGACTTCCCTTAGAGAAGCATGGTTGTAGCGTGCTGTCCTCACTCCTGAGAGTCATGTCCACACCGTTCCACACATACTTGTAAAATAGGAACCTGACATGCCAAGGAGAGCCACTCCAAAAAAATACAGGAGTCCTTCATCCCTTGGGTCTGTGCACGTGACTCTCAAAGTTCTGCTTCTCTCTGGGATTGACATGAGGGGTGTTTTAGGACAAGCTTATGCAATCCCTCTGTGGACAGGCCTCACATTTGATGCCAGAGACACAGCGACCCATGGCAGCTCTGGCTCCTTCACCCCACCAGGGCCACTCCCCTGGGTTCTTCCCATCAAAGGGGTCATTCTGTGCCCTCCACTTGGAGATATCCATGCTATAGGCCAAAACCCCACACACAGAGTAGAGAGAGATGATATTCTGAGTCTCAGGTGAGACGGCGCCTGTGAATGTACCCAGAACAGGGTCTCCCATACAGCAGGGCACACTATGTGCTCTTTGTGGTCTCTGCATCTCCGCTCCACCCACCTCACCCCTAGAAGATGAGTAGCTCCAAAGCATGGTGTCTGTGTCCATATCTGGATCTGCAGTCCAAGGCTGTGCCCAGCACAGAGGAGGGGCTCCGTGTGGCTCAACTGGGAGGACAGAAGCTGTGAAGCTCCTGGTGGAGAGATGTCTCTGTCCCTGTCAGTTCAAGTCTTCAGTCAGTTCACCCTGCCTCCTCTTGTGCAAGACAGAGACAGGCAAGACCTCACCCCTTCTCAGAAAACCCTGTATGGGGAACATGAGTCTGTGAGTCCTGGTGGGGCCCACTGCACACAGTGAGAACCCACCCGAGCTTGCCAAGGTTCAGGGAAGGCTTCTTGAAGAAGTGCTGGAGTGTGTCTTGATTTTGACCAATGAACATGGTGAGGAGGAGGAAACAGCATGAAGAAAGGCACAGGAGCCAGAAGGCAAAGTCACAGATCAGGGAGGCCACTGCTGTAGCAAGCAAGGCTGCACGGGGGGATCCTGGGGATGGAGGATGGGCAGGGGCTGTGGGGGGCTGAGGGCTTGTCCCAAGAGAGCCCCGTGAGCCTGCAGTGCCAGGCTGCAGGGACTGCTCCTATCTGTGACCACGTGTGCAGAGTAAGCTCCCAGATGTTTGGGGATCAAAACCTCATTGTGTACACACACATACACACACACACACACACACACACACACACACACACACACCCCTTCTATAGGGAGAATCTGATGAACAAATGTCTTTTCACGGATAAATCATCATCAACATCATTGTCCTCGTCCCCTAACATTTATTGGGCACTCAGCATGGGCCAGGTGTGATTCAATGCACTTCTCATTTATTAACTCACTTAATTCTCACAACTCCCCTGTAAGAAATGTCCTATTTTTATTCCAGCTTTACAGTGAGGAAATTGAAGTACAGAGAGCCAGAAGTCACACAGCTGGCAGGGGCCAGAGCCAGGCGGTTGACTGGGCAGTCTGCTTAGAACCCATACATGCTGCCTCCCACCCTGCAAGGTACCCCGCTTTGGGTACCTGTGGAGATAGTGTTTTCTGGAAGGGAGTGAGTCCTTTCCTGCCCAGAGTCCATCCCATCCAGGTAATGCAGCCCAACCACAGGCCACCCCGAATTCGCTCTGGGAGGCCTGGCCTCCAGGCAAAGGAGAGCCTAGCTCAGGCTGAACCCCTTCCTGAGCCCCCTTCACCCCTAAATGAAGCAATTCACAACCAGTGGGGAAGGAGGATGTCTAGAGTTCACTCAGGGCAGAGCTGCACTTCCCTGTCCCCGGCACCCTCACTGAGACAGGGTCACCGGAAAAGCCTAGACTTCACAACCCTCCCTGCCTCCCTCTTGTGCCTCCGAGCTTAAGGCATGAGGCCCCGCTGGGAGTGGGGTTCTGTGCCGAATGAGGGCCGGGGTCTGCCCCCAGGAAGTGCATAGCGCACAGCATCTTCCAATAGGTGGCATCCCAGACTGGCAGACATGGGAGTCGGGCATGTGCTCACCTTCCCCAGCCACCCTGGCAGGCCTACCAAGGCCTGGCTCTGCACCTGCTTTGTTCTTTACCTCTCCCACGGTCCCTCCCGCCCATGGTGGGCCCCAGCATGTCTGAACTGCAGGACCAGGAGGTTGTCCTGAGGAGGCCTCAGGCCTGCAGAAAGGCCTTGGAAGCCTGGCTAAGCCAGGTTTCTGGGCAGCAGGGGTCACTGAGACCTGGGTAGCCCCAGACTATCTGCTGTGCTGGTAGAAACACCCCAATCTCTGAGGACTGTAGCAGGGACCCCCACAAGGGAATTGTCCTGAGGCCAGTCTGTTCCTTTGCAATGTTAGCCACAGTCAGAGATCACAGGGAGTGGGAATGGGGAGAGTGGATATTTTGGGGGGTTTGGTCTGAAATAGCAAACAGGCTTTTTGAGTCAGATACACATGAACTTGGGTCCTGGTTGGTTCCCTTACCAGTTCCAGGACTTCGGGAAAGTTCATTCTCACACTCTGAGCCTCAGTTTTCCTCATTCATAAGATGAGGGTGATTAAAACTGGGTCACAATAAAATGAGCTGGCCTGTGTTAAAGGACCAGTCAAATGGCTGGCGCACACCAGGGGCTCAATGAATGTCCGTTTTTCTTTCTCATTAGCCTACTTTTTCTCCCCAGTCATTGAAGAAGGAACGTCCTTCTTTAAAGGGAGGGTAAGCAGGGTCTGTCTGGATTTAATGGTTTGGTAGTGGCATGTGTCCTGGGCTTCATATCTCCAGCTCCTGCTTTATACATGCTTATTCTGATTTCTCTGACTTATTTCCAGTGGTCCAAGGGCTTTTCCACCCTCAAATCCTCCATGCCAGACAACAACCAGGTCTCCCCAGGGGCCCCCGTCTGCTGCCATACCAGTCCTAGACACAGGCAGGTATGCACACCCAGACCAGACTGCTCACAAGGAAGTCCTCAGGTTTAATAGCAGAGGCTGCCCACCTAAGCAACCTGACTGGTTCAGCAAGAGATTGCAATAGCCTGTTAGTTTTCCTTCGATTTCCAACTTCATCCCCTCCAATTTATACTGCAACTTCATCTTACTGTTGTCTAACTGTTGCCTAAAATGCATATCTGTTCACGTCACTCTCCTGCTCAAGAACCTTCCGTGGCTCCCCATTGTTCTCAGAACCAAGTCCCTGACAGACAGGCCTTTTGATATCACACTCTGCTTGCTTCCCCAGTCCCGTCTTCTCCTTGCAATATGCCCCAGTCAGATCAAATCACTTGCCTTCTCCTAAACACCCATTCTGTGTCACACCTCTCTGCCCTTGGATACATTTCTGGTGCCTAAAATGTCATAGCATGATGATTCCTAAACTACTTGGTTACAATACTGCCTGAAGAAGAAGAGCTTGCAAAATAAATAGCAGTTCTTAGGCTCACCTGCTGAATCTGAACCTCCAGGTGAGAGGCCTATGGGATCTGCATTTTTAACAAGTGCCTGAGGTGATTCTTCTGATTTGGCAAACTGGAAAGCACTCTCTTCCTGTACCTTGTCCACTAATGAACTTCTGCTTATCCATCCTTCTAGGCTTCCCTACGTGGTCACCACCTCGGGGAAGACCACCTGCTAATCCTTCCCACAAGAATGATGACAATAGCTAACATTCATCAAGTTCTTGTCATGGACCCACAGTGTTCTCAGTCCTGGGTGTGTGGTGGCTCCTTTTGTCCTTGGGAGGGGTGCTGTTGCGATCTCTATCATAGCTAAAGCCATGGAGGCTCTCAGGAAGCACAGAGCATTTGAGCTAGTTGTCCAGAATCACACAGGTAGAAAGTGTCAGAGCTGAACTTTGAACCTGGGAGTCTGCTTCAGAGCCCTCACTCTGTCACATAAGGGACCAGGTCACTGTTGCCAAGAGCATCGTCATCTTAGCAGCTGAGGATTGGAATATTTTCCTCCTCTCCTAGATCCTGAACTCCAGGAGGCAGGCATTCACATCCCTAGGGGCCTAGCAAAGGTCCAGGCAGGTGTTAGGAGCTCAGTAAACATTTGCAGAGGGAGAAAGAGGAGGAAAAATGACAAGAGGAGCCACTGTGTGTGGAGAAATGCCCTGGATCTTTGTTTGGGGATGAGGAGGAAGCAAGGAGAGACAAAAGGTGGAATCAAGTTAAATATAAGAATGGGTCTCAACCGGGCTCGGTGGCTCAGCCTGTAATCCCGTGCCTTTGGGAGGCTGAGGTGAGTGCATTGCCTGAGCCCACGGGTTCGAGACCTGCCTGGGCAACTTGGCAAGACCTCATCTCTACAATAAATCAAAAAATTAGCCGGGCATGGTAGCGTGCGCCTATAGTTCCAGCTACTCGGAAGGCAGATGTGGACAGATCGCCGGAGCCCAGTAGGTCAAGGCTGTGGTGGCTGGGAGCGTGCCACTGCCCTCCAGCCTGGGCGACAGAGTGAGACTCCAACGCAAAAAAAAAAAAAAAGAGAATGGGTCTCAGGGCTGGGTGCAGTGACTCACCTGTAATCCCAGCACTTCAGGAGGCCAGGTTGGGAGGATTGCTTGAGCCCAGTAGTTTGAGACCAGCCTGGGCAACACAGCAAGACCCTACCACCACACAAAAGAAAAATTGAAAAATTAGTTTGGCATCGTGGCATGCGCCTATAGTCCCAATATATGGGAGAATGAGGCAGGAGGATTGCCTGAGCCCAGGAGTTTGAGGCTGTAGTGAGCCATGATTGTGCTGTGGCACTCCAGCCTGGGCGACAGAGGGAGACTCCAACTCAAAAATAAAAAAGGATGAGGTCCGCGGTTTTCCCGTAAGACATGTTGCCTTTCTCCTGGCAGGTGCAACCTAGCCCCAGTGCAGGAGTATGCCCGGGACGTGGGGCTCAAGACAGACCTGGTGACCATGAACCCCTCTGTCATCCAACGTGCCTTTGAAGACTTGGTCAATGCCACATGGCGGGAAAAGCTGCTGCAGCGTCTACACAGCCTCAACGGCAGCATCCTGTGGATCCCTGCCTTCATGGCCAGGGGTGGCAAGGAGCGCGTGGAGTGGGTCAACGAGCTCATCCTGAAGCACCGTGTCAACGTGCGGACTGCATATCCCTCGCTGCGCCTGCTGCATGCTGTCCGCGGGTGAGCAGCCTCCCACGGGGCAGGGGATCATTGCTGAGTATGGGAGGTCCTTGGTAGAACATGTCCCTTTCCCGGGTGCGCTTCGGTACCTTCAACCCAGACTTTCACCCACTCACTGGATGACCTCAGCAAGTCACCTGGCCTTTCTGGGCCTCCATTCCTTGGGAAATGAGGGGAGTTGCACGTGGTTTCATCTGGCATGCCAATTTTGACCGATGGGTAGTGCCTACCTGGACAGCTGTATTGAGAATAATCCTGGAGCTGTACCAAGGCTCAGTGGGAATAGATACTATGAACACAAGAGAAGACACAGTGACTGGCATGTCACATATCAGCCATCCCACATAGGTAACTTTCAAGAAAATCTGGATCAGGTGCACTTGACTTCGAATATGTCAACTTTATCTCTCGAAACTGTAGTTGCGTCTATCAGTAAAATAGGTGTGGGGATGGTAGTATTGGAATATTAACTCATGATATGAAGACTACATGAGCTAATATATGTGAAATAGTAGAATGAGTGAAATATTAATAGGCAGTGTTGCCATCAACATCATCATCATTGCCATCATCATCTCTTCTAGGTGTAATATTCTCTAACCCTACAGGGCACATCGTGTGGATTGGGCTAAGAGATATCCAAAGAAATGTCTGAGAGGATGTGCTTTTGTCCACAAGGTTCTGTCCTTGAGATGGTAGAGAAACTTTACCCAGGGAATGTGAGAGAGATAGGAACACAGCAATGGAATCCACTCTCTTTTAGAAGAATTTTGATATGATCAATGAGGCAAGGAGTTCTCCTGGTTAGATCTTGATCTCTAATTCTACAAAAGGGATTCCAAGAATTAAGGAAAACGAGTAGGGCATGTTGAGGCGGTTCTGAACTGTTCCTACTAAGAAGTCCAGGTCAATCCAGATGAGGTTCTTCAACAGCCTTAGCCAAACAAGCAGTAATTCCCAATCTCTCTTGGTTTCCTCACAACCATGTGACCCGTGTAGACCTCTCAGCACTTGGACCAGTAAATTGTCAAGGGATAATACTGTTGTTCATTGTAGCAGCCACCAGGGACTAGATGAATATTAAACACTCATTCCCTCTGTTCCAGTTATTTATTGTAGTACACTAAATCACCTCAACATTTAGTGACTTCAAAAACAATACTTTTATTTATTTATTTATTTTTTACTATTTCTGTTGGTCAGGAAATTGGGAAGGGCTCAGCTGGATGGTTGTAAGTCAGGGTCTCTCATGCAGTAGTCACACCGGCTGGAGGTTGAACAATGGAAGTGGAATAGCTAGGGTTGTCCATTCTCTCTCTCTCTCTCTCTCTCTCTCTCTCTCTCTCTCTCTCTCTCTCTCTCTCTCTCTCTAAGTTGTCTTAGAGCTTCTCCACATGATCTCTCTGCATGGGCTAGATTTGGCTTCCTCACAGTAAAGTAGCCTTGGAGTAGTCAGACTGCACACATGGTGGCTCAAGCTCCAGCACAAGTGGTCCAGACACCAAGGCAGAAGCAGCATCACCTTTTTTAAGACCACATGACACTTCTGTCATTATTTGCTAACTAACTAGTCACTAAGGTGGCCCAGAATCAAGGCGAGTGGACATAGATTCTGCCTCTCAATGGGGGAGTGCTACTTCGTGGACATGTTTAAAAATCTGCACACATTCCTCAAACAAATAATTATTGAGTGCTTACTATGTGCAAGGCTCTTTCCTAGACATTGTGATACAGTAGTGAATAAAGCCAAGATCTCATTAGCACTTCCATTTTCTTGTTAGGGGAAGATAAATTACAGGTAAATAAATCAATAAGATACTTTCAAATTGTGTTGTCAAGGAAGTCTTCTCTGGAAAGAAGTTGGTTTAAGCTAAGTCTCAAGAAGGTTCCAGGCATGTGCAGATCTGAGGGAGGGTAAGAAGATTCCAGGCATGTGCAGATCTGAGGGAGGAACCTTCCACATGAGGGAACCTCAAATATAAAGGCCCCAAGGTGGGAGCATGTGTTCAAGGATCAGTAAAGAGACAAGTGTGGTTGGTTAGGAGATGACGTTGGTGAGAGGGGCAGTTGCTAGAATGGTCTTGTGGGCCATGGTAAGTATTTTGGATTTGAGTATAAGATTTAGAGGCAGTCATGGATGTGAGGGAGAAGATCTGAATTATGTCTTTAAGAGACCCCTCTGGTAAGAATTAAAGCTGAAATATTTGTTGGGAAACTGTTGCAATAGCTAAGACAGGAAATATCGATGGCTTAAAGCTGGATGGTGGCACGGGATACATAACAGTTTGGTCAGAATTGCTATAAAATTTGGAGGTTAAGGCAGCAGGATTTGCTGGTGAATTCTATTTAAGATCCATAAGGTTTGAGAGAAAGAGGAAAATTCAGGTTGACTCTTAGCATTAGTACTTGAGCAAACAGATGGACAGTGGTGCCATATTCTGTACTAGGAGAGCCTGGAGCAGCCCGTCTGTGTTTGGAGGTGTTGAGTTCTTTCTTGGGCATGTTAAGTTTGAGATGTGTGTGTGGCCAGCCATGGTGTCTAACACCTATAATCCCAGCACTTTGGGAAGCCAAGGCAGGAGGGTTTCTTGAATCCAGGCGTTTGAGACCAGCCCAGGCAACACGAGACCTCATCTCTACAAAAAATAAATAAATAAGTAGCCAGGTGTAGTGGTCTATACCTATAGTTCCAGCTAATAAAGAGACTGAGGCAGAAGGATCACCTGAGCCCAGGAGGTCGAGGCTGCAGTGAGTTGTGGCCATGCCACTGCATTCCATCCTAGACAACAGAGTCAGACCCTGACTCAATAAGTTTGAGATGCCTGTTACAGATATTTAGGTCACTACATTCCCTGCCTCTCAGTTTGGGGCTAGGTCCTGTATCCAGTCACCCACCCAACCAAATGTCAGATAACAGTCCTGCTCCAGGGCATAAGAAAGCCCAGTGTAAGCCGGACTTGGTGGCTCAGCCTGTAATCCCGTGCCTTGGGAGGCTGAGGTGAGTGGATTGCCTGAGCCCACGGGTTCGAGACCCACCTGGGCAACTTGGTGAGACCTCATCTCTACAATAAATAAAAAAAATTAGCCAAGTGTGGTAGCGCACACCTGTAGTTCCAGCTACTTGGAAGGCTGAGGCGGAGGGATCGCCGGAGCCCAGCGGGTCGAGGCTGCAGTGGCCGGGAGCGGCCACTGCACTCCAGTCTGGGCAACAGAGTGAGACTCCAACTCAAAAACAAACAAACAAACAAAAAAGCCCAGTGTAGAGGTTCCCTGCTATCCAAGGGGCATTGGGATGTTCTTCCTTGAGCCCTCAGCATAACTCAATGTGACCTGGAAAGTCCTTTAAGACATCCATAAATGACTCATGTCCTCATAAAAGTGACTCCCAAGGTCAATGAACTCTGGCCTCATTATGGTGGGTACCAACATGGGAAACCCATTGACCCCAAGAAACACTTGGAGAGACATTCAGAAAGAGGTGGCCACATTTGTGGCTGATGGAGCCAGAGTGATGGCCACTGGGCTCACTGGGGCCACATCCCTCATCCTGGAGTTTGACCTATCAGGGAACCTATCAGAGGACCTTCCAGCATCTTTTCACTTCACCCCTGTCACAGAGTGGGTCTGCAGCAGCAACCTCTATCTCATGACTTTCAGCTCCATGCCTTAAATGTTGCTCCTTCCTGGAAGGAGGACACTCTTGGGATGGCTTAGAAGTCTGAAGGGATAAAAGAAAGAGAAAGACTGCCCTTTGGTAAAGACAGAAAGTCCCTTAGATGGGGAATGGGTAACCATCTGGAAGAAACCTATGCAGCTAGAGCTATTTCCAGCTATAATTGACTCGCTTTCATCTGTCAAAATAGCATTAAGCAACAGTAATAAACCCTTTAAACAAACAGGCTGCTAATCCTGAGACTGCAACATCTTCAGTTGTGGGAACTCCCGGGAGGAAATACTACAGGAGAGACTAGCCTCTGCCTTTAGCAAGAGGAAAAGGTGGGGAAAGGGGGACTTTGGAGCCTTGGAGTGGATTTCTGCCAATGACCCTGTCCTTCTGTGGGGACCCCTGCAGGGTCCAATAGGGCATCAGTGAAAAGGTAGACATTGTGTGTCATAAGCCTCTGCCTTGGTGAGACCTTAGCTGGTGTTTGCTGCAAATGGAGGAATGGGCTGGTGGGTGATGCAGAACCAAGCTGCAAGAGAAAAGACCAAGGGATCATAGACAAGAAGGCTGAGGAGGAAGCTGGCCAAGAGGCATTGTGGCCCAGTGCCAAAAACACAGGCTTTGGATGTAGGAACTTGTTTAGTCATGTCGCCTGTCTTTCCCTGGTGCCCGCAGGGGAGGCATGCAATCAGTCGAACGTGGTTACTGCAATCATGGCAGCTGCCACCTGCTACTTGGAGAGCTACCACGTGGGAAAGGGATTAGACTTGCCCTGTGGACTCAAGAGCTCCAGAGAGAGAAATCACAAGGAGGAAACTCCATTTAGGCTCAGTTCAATATAGGACTCTGTAGTAATTAGAGCAATGAACTAAGTCAAAGTAGTCACTCATAAGCTCTTTACCTTGAAGTTCCAGTAATGGACTATAACTTGATAAATAATCTTGTTTCCTAACTTAAAAATATGTTGCCCAGCAAACCCCCTGTTTATAGAGTGTATGAGGGTGGGAAAAAACCGTATGCATCATGAGAAACTGTACATAACATAGCACTTACCATTTTAGCCATTTTCAAGTATAAATTTCACTTAGAAGAAATCTACTCTTAGAATCACTCTTAGAAATCTTCATCACCTTGGGTTGGACAGTGGTCTCTTAATTATGACACCAGTAGCTCAGGCAACACAAAAAAGATAAGTTGTACTATATAGAAATTAGAATATTTGTGTATCAAATGACAATCTATCAAGAGAGTGAAAAGACAGCTCATAGAATGGGAGAATTTATAAATAACATTTCTGATGAGGGAGTGGCATCCACAATATGTAAATAACCCAATA